GCAGGAAAAAAGCAAATGGATTCCGATATTCTCAGATCGGTTTCAGGCCTCATTCATATGTGGAAATAAATCTGATATGAATCTGATGCGTGCATTTGCGCCTGCCGTGTAAGCAGACAAATTGTATATTCCCCTGTTAATGCGAGTTGGATGTCATATATTTTTTAAACATTTAGCGGCACAGATATACCTATTACAAATAAAACATCTCTAGTTGACTAGCAGAGTATTAATTTGGTTCGTTTGTGTTAAATAAGAGGCAATCCGGCACTGAAATGTGCTTTTAAAGTCGTGCTGAGTGCCCGTTGCTAGTTATCAGTGACGGCGGCTCGTGCACAGACGAGCACTTCAATCTATTGCTAACTGTTGTGGAGGCTCTCTATTAAAAATGCAAACAAATGTAACGTCTGGACCAATCAAACACACAATTTTTCATTTGATTTAACAAATCAGTTCTTCATTAGATTAACAAATCGCCACAGTCCCCTCACCCAATAAACTGGATGCCAGGATGTCTGCAAATGACACCAAACCATGGCAACCCTGACACCAGATACTTTTACGACCTCATGGAATGTGAGCAGGGAAAAGCACTGTCTTTTCATAAGGAAAAACTGGATTAGAACTCAGATCCACTAACTTAGCACAAGTTCTACCGCTAGACCATTAGTACCCGCGAATGTGTACAGCGGATCTGTGTATATAATTACTGCTGTGAAGAATCAGTACTAATTAATTATTTTTATGTAAGGATGAAAATGTTTTAATGAGTTCTGTCAATAAGTTAAACTCTTCGCGTTCATGTTCTGGACTCTGCTTTTCTATACAAAGTATGCTTTGTTAATAATGTGTGCAGAGTTTGGGCTTTTAATATCACTGTCTAATGCACTGAACCACGTCAAGTTAGGACTGTGTAGTGTAAATGCAGATATCGGATACGGGTCACTTTTAAAAGAAGGTGTAAAAAAACAACAACGAAAAACAAAACAAAACGATATAGTCAAAAAATCTGATTTGGGCATCCAGATCTGCAGTGTAAATGCAGCCCAAATGTGTCACATAAGAGAGACATACAAAATGTGCAGAGCACTGAGTCCCCAGGGTCGAAGTTGAGAACCACTGTAGTGTAGTAAATCTAATATGAAAAAAAGTTAATTTTCTTATTCAGTCTGGATCATGTAAATAATGCATGTTGCTAAGCATTTGGAGTTTCTATCAGTTTATTAACATTTTGTTATATAGCATGTTTTGAAAATTACCTGTGTTATAGTGCTTGGTGCAGTATCTTAAATCAGTCTCCTCCTTGAGGATGAACTGTGGAAGCGTCAAACCTTCGGCCACCTGTACAGGTTCCATCTCTTGCCACTCAAAGATCAGGTCGTTCATTGTGTAGCCAACTAGTAGAAAGACAAAGAGAATTGTTTTAGATTTTACATGCTGTTTTCAGTATTGCTGTTTCATAACGGAGAGGTTAATGTTGTAAAATTAGCCCTTTCCATATTCTGAAAATATTCCCACAGCTTGCACTTTCATACAAGGAATCTTTTTTTTGTCATTAATTGCTTACATTCAGTGTCATTCCAAACTTGTATGTGCTGTATATTTAATCTCCATACATATTCATTTGTGTTCTGTAAACAACATGGTTATGAATAAATAATGACTAAATTTTTGGGTGAACTATTCCTTTAGCGGCCTTATGTCTCACATTAAGTACTTATTCCTTTGGCTAAACTATTCTGATTCTTTAATTTAAGATCTAAGGTCTATTTTAAGATAAAAATGCAGATTTCAGTAGAATGATAGCATTTGAGGCTAAATGAGAGGGCTGCTCCAGAAGGCTAGAAAATTACAAAACCATTTACTACATTTCAGATAGATATTAGCAGTAGCTTCAGAAGCAGCTAATGAACAGTAACTTCAGCTTCAGCTTGACAGTTTAGACTCTAAGGCACTGGTGTGATTTTTTAAATACACATACAGTATATGTAAAAAGAAACCAGCTTATTGTTTTTTTTTCTTCTTTTTTTTCTCCAGTGTTGACTTTGATATTAAAGTAAACTATAACCATACAGCCATAAAGCATGCTAACTGCAGTGCATAATAAAAAGGCACACAGCTTCAACATGAAAACAAATCATATGACAAAGCATTAAGCAGTTCACCAGCACAATATCCTCAGGGCTGCAACTGCACCGGAAAATGTATGGTGTGATGTTGAAGTGGCGGATATAATTATCTCTGTTACTTCATATAGATCTGGTGTCACTTGCTTCTCTTGGTGGTATCATTTTACCAGAGGGAAGGTGGTGAGTATGCTCATTATTCTATTCTATTCTATTCTATTCTATTCTATTCTATTCTACTGAATGAGCTATTTCCAAGAGAGAAAATATCCTCAGTTTAACATTGCTGTCTGTCATCAAGAGCCTCCCAGTGAGCAACTCTAGTGACGACATGCACATGGCCACTCTAAAATATGTAGTTATGAAGACAGATTCCCCAGCACACGGGGAACGGCCCCAGCACACGGCCTTTCTTTAAAAACCTCAACCCCAGCTTAGAGCAATAGTCATGGGGGAGATCGAGTGAGCTGTGGCATGTTTTCAAGTTGACTGAAAACTCTTAGAAAAATATACCGAACACTTTGACCACTAGCTTCACTAATCTTTAACCAGGCACTTGGCACTTAATCTGTAGAGAGAATTTCTTGCCTGTGTGTCCTTAAGTTACTGTCTAGGATGGTATATACCTTCTCCATGATGATTTTAAGGATGTCTTCAGGGCCCTTCCCATCCGTAATGACATAATTTGGTATGACCCTGCCAGGTGAATGCCAATGCCAAACACGCTTTACATCAAATCCGCTATTTACCTCATCCTGCCTACCGGCTGAAGTTACATTATGAAATGAGAAACAGTGTCTGCTTTCCACACAAATCTGAACGAGGGGTGGGGGGAGTTACTCAACAAGCTCTTGATGAGAAGAGGTCATACGAGATTACTCACAACTCTCCAGCTGCATTATGCACGTCTGCACATCCATGGGGAAATTCTTCAGATCCATCGGACATGAGAGTGTCAGAGTCAGTCTAAAAATTGAGTGGAAAAAAAGCATAGATTTTTTAAATGATACACACACCTCTTTAATATGTGCTTTTTCAAGTATAAAACATGGTAATTTTTATGCACAAAAATTGTAAATGGAATTCCATCTACATTTTCTGAATGAGTAATGTGTAAATCCACAACTCAGACAAAGAAGGGATTTAAAGTGAAGGGATTTGAGCATCTGAAGCTGCATGAGTGGTGGGATTTCTGAACGGGACCAATAAAGCAAAGACAAGTCTGACAGCTGCAGATTGGCCATGTTTTAATTACACTCCTTCTCCCTCAGGGCACCACGTGGATTTCAGTTAGAGTGAATCCTCTGTCGTCTCACATCTGCACAGCTTTCCGTCATATCTCTTCAAAAGCCTGACATGATTTACCCCTCACTATTAACTCCAGCACTTTCCTACTATCCTATAACACTGTGTTCATCCTGGCATTTGTTGATGGGTTAGTTACATTTTAGAGTTTGAAAGCATGACTCTAATGACTCAAGTCTGCATCAGCTGAGGCATTTGATTACTAGGATGGTGGATTATTATTGACATTTTCAGGAGCTAGTACAGCAGCTGTTTTCATAGACCATGACCCTAAACCTACTGAAATGTATGTCAAATGTCAGTCAGTGTTAACTCTCAGTGGCTGCTTACAGTAACTATTTTGATTGGTGCTGATGTCTCACCTGATTGAATAGAGGACATTTCCATTCTTGAATATTCTCAAGAGCTTGTTGTCAGTGGTGACCTCATGGAAGTGTGCTCCCTTCTCGTTGGCAAAGAACAGATCAGGCTTCCAAATGGAGTCTAACATTGAGGGATCCAGGTCCAGGGAGTCATCTGGGTACTCGCTGTAAGCTAACCGAGGGTCGTTCCACTTCTGCCGGAGAAATATGTTCACTCTGTAATCCTAAGAATAAATCACTTGACGTTGTTCATTGTTTGCTCATAACTGGAGTCACTTAATCATGCAGATTTATGCTACAAGCTTTTGTAGAATTGTACAGTAAGAAAGTTATTTCCCTTAACCAGGAAATTAACATTCTTAGAATTGACAAGACAGCTGACCCTGAGAGGTCAGCTAAATATCTACAGCGGATCTAAATATTCATAATTAATTATAACTAGTTATGATTAATTATTCATATTTCCTCATGAGCTGATTCGTTACACAAACTTGTCCCTGCTCTTGATATACAATCACTGATGAACACATTTGGTTTTAATGAGGAAAAAAACTATACGAGACTGGATTAGAACTCAGATCCACTAACTTAGCACAAGTTCTACCGCTAGACCATTAGTACCCGCGAATGTGTACAGCGGATCTGTGTATATAATTACTGCTGTGAAGAATCAGTACTAATTAATTATTTTTATGTAAGGATGAAAATGTTTTAATGAGTTCTGTCAATAAGTTAAACTCTTCGCGTTCATGTTCTGGACTCTGCTTTTCTATACAAAGTATGCTTTGTTAATAATGTGTGCAGAGTTTGGGCTTTTAATATCACTGTCTAATGCACTGAACCACGTCAAGTTAGGACTGTGTAGTGTAAATGCAGATATCGGATACGGGTCACTTTTAAAAGAAGGTGTAAAAAAACAACAACGAAAAACAAAACAAAACGATATAGTCAAAAAATCTGATTTGGGCATCCAGATCTGCAGTGTAAATGCAGCCCAAATGTGTCACATAAGAGAGACATACAAAATGTGCAGAGCACTGAGTCCCCAGGGTCGAAGTTGAGAACCACTGTAGTGTAGTAAATCTAATATGAAAAAAAGTTAATTTTCTTATTCAGTCTGGATCATGTAAATAATGCATGTTGCTAAGCATTTGGAGTTTCTATCAGTTTATTAACATTTTGTTATATAGCATGTTTTGAAAATTACCTGTGTTATAGTGCTTGGTGCAGTATCTTAAATCAGTCTCCTCCTTGAGGATGAACTGTGGAAGCGTCAAACCTTCGGCCACCTGTACAGGTTCCATCTCTTGCCACTCAAAGATCAGGTCGTTCATTGTGTAGCCAACTAGTAGAAAGACAAAGAGAATTGTTTTAGATTTTACATGCTGTTTTCAGTATTGCTGTTTCATAACGGAGAGGTTAATGTTGTAAAATTAGCCCTTTCCATATTCTGAAAATATTCCCACAGCTTGCACTTTCATACAAGGAATCTTTTTTTTGTCATTAATTGCTTACATTCAGTGTCATTCCAAACTTGTATGTGCTGTATATTTAATCTCCATACATATTCATTTGTGTTCTGTAAACAACATGGTTATGAATAAATAATGACTAAATTTTTGGGTGAACTATTCCTTTAGCGGCCTTATGTCTCACATTAAGTACTTATTCCTTTGGCTAAACTATTCTGATTCTTTAATTTAAGATCTAAGGTCTATTTTAAGATAAAAATGCAGATTTCAGTAGAATGATAGCATTTGAGGCTAAATGAGAGGGCTGCTCCAGAAGGCTAGAAAATTACAAAACCATTTACTACATTTCAGATAGATATTAGCAGTAGCTTCAGAAGCAGCTAATGAACAGTAACTTCAGCTTCAGCTTGACAGTTTAGACTCTAAGGCACTGGTGTGATTTTTTAAATACACATACAGTATATGTAAAAAGAAACCAGCTTATTGTTTTTTTTTCTTCTTTTTTTTCTCCAGTGTTGACTTTGATATTAAAGTAAACTATAACCATACAGCCATAAAGCATGCTAACTGCAGTGCATAATAAAAAGGCACACAGCTTCAACATGAAAACAAATCATATGACAAAGCATTAAGCAGTTCACCAGCACAATATCCTCAGGGCTGCAACTGCACCGGAAAATGTATGGTGTGATGTTGAAGTGGCGGATATAATTATCTCTGTTACTTCATATAGATCTGGTGTCACTTGCTTCTCTTGGTGGTATCATTTTACCAGAGGGAAGAAGGTGAGTATGCTCATTATTCTATTCTATTCTATTCTATTCTATTCTATTCTATTCTATTCTATTCTACTGAATGAGCTATTTCCAAGAGAGAAAATATCCTCAGTTTAACATTGCTGTCTGTCATCAAGAGCCTCCCAGTGAGCAAATCTAGTGACGACATGCACATGGCCACTCTAAAATATGTAGTTATGAAGACAGATTCCCCAGCACACGGGGAACGGCCCCAGCACACGGCCTTTCTTTAAAAACCTCAACCCCAGCTTAGAGCAATAGTCATGGGGGAGATCGAGTGAGCTGTGGCATGTTTTCAAGTTGACTGAAAACTCTTAGAAAAATATACCGAACACTTTGACCACTAGCTTCACTAATCTTTAACCAGGCACTTGGCACTTAATCTGTAGAGAGAATTTCTTGCCTGTGTGTCCTTAAGTTACTGTCTAGGATGGTATATACCTTCTCCATGATGATTTTAAGGATGTCTTCAGGGCCCTTCCCATCCGTAATGACATAATTTGGTATGACCCTGCCAGGTGAATGCCAATGCCAAACACGCTTTACATCAAATCCGCTATTTACCTCATCCTGCCTACCGGCTGAAGTTACATTATGAAATGAGAAACAGTGTCTGCTTTCCACACAAATCTGAACGAGGGGTGGGGGGAGTTACTCAACAAGCTCTTGATGAGAAGAGGTCATACGAGATTACTCACAACTCTCCAGCTGCATTATGCACGTCTGCACATCCATGGGGAAATTCTTCAGATCCATCGGACATGAGAGTGTCAGAGTCAGTCTAAAAATTGAGTGGAAAAAAAGCATAGATTTTTTAAATGATACACACACCTCTTTAATATGTGCTTTTTCAAGTATAAAACATGGTAATTTTTATGCACAAAAATTGTAAATGGAATTCCATCTACATTTTCTGAATGAGTAATGTGTAAATCCACAACTCAGACAAAGAAGGGATTTAAAGTGAAGGGATTTGAGCATCTGAAGCTGCATGAGTGGTGGGATTTCTGAACGGGACCAATAAAGCAAAGACAAGTCTGACAGCTGCAGATTGGCCATGTTTTAATTACACTCCTTCTCCCTCAGGGCACCACGTGGATTTCAGTTAGAGTGAATCCTCTGTCGTCTCACATCTGCACAGCTTTCCGTCATATCTCCTCAAAAGCCTGACATAATTTACCCCTCACTATTAACTCCAGCACTTCTCTTCTACCCTCACGCTGCTTCCTATGGATTCACTGTAATGATTGATGTGGAATGACATTGTGTTTTTTCCTTGCATTTGTTGAGGGGTTAGTTACATTTTAGAGTTCGAAGGAATGACTCAAATGACTCAAGTCTGCATCAGCTGAGGCGTTTGATTACTGGGATGGTGGATTGTTATTGACATTTTCCTGCTGCGGAATTTAAGCACATGTCTCTTTCTCAAGAAATTACTTCTGCTTTGTCTTGATTTGTTATTTACATCATGTATATATATATATATATATATATATATATATATATATTACAAGTAAAATGTATTACAAGTAAAATATCTATAAACATTTACATTTACATTTAGTCATTTAGTAGATGCTGTTATCCAAATCGACTTACAAATGAGGACAATAGAAGCAATCAAAACAAACAAAAGAACAACAATATGTAAGTGCAAATGACAAGTCTCGGTTAGCCTAACGCAGTACACGTAGCAAGGTACTTTAAAAAAAATATATATATATGATTCTGTAGGCTAACATTAATACCTTGAATTTTATGCGAGCAGCTACTGGTAGCCATTGCAAATTGATGAACAGAGGTGTGACGTGCGTTATTTTCGGCTCATTAAAGATTAATCTTGCAGCGACATTTTGGATTAATTGTAGAAGTTTGATAGACGTGACTGTAAGACCTGCCAAGAGAGCATTGCAATAGTCCAGCCTGGATAGAACAATAGCTTGAACAAGGAGTTGTGTTGCATGTTCTGAAAGAAAGGGCCTGATCTTCCTAATGTTGTATAAAGCAAATCTGCAGGACCGGTCAGTTTTAGCAATGTGGTCTGAGAAATTCAGCTTATCATCAATCACAAC